CCTAGAACCTGTTTCTCTTCCCAAACTAACTCTTGCTCATGTTCAGAATTCAGGTGAAGAGTTATCACCTCCCAGAAGCCTTTCCCAGTATCTCTTCCCTCCCCTCTCCCACTAGCACTCTCTACCACCCATCTGGGTCAGGCTTCTTTCCTTGGTACCCACCGCATGGTCCTGCAGTGGTCTGCTGCCTTTCCCAGTCCCCCTTCCTCTCTCTCCAGACACCCTCATCCCACTAGGCTGTAAATGATCTCAAAAGTGGGGACTATTGTCCCTGCACAGTATTGGGTTATAAACAAAGAATCCCATGGAAATCATCTGCAAAATTTAACTTTGGGACTTTGGAATGCATAGCACTTGGGATTTTTTTTTTTTTTTTGGCATGTCACATACCTCAAGTCATGCAAAAATAAGAAATTATACGCACATCAAAACATATACTCACAAAGAACACAGAGTAAAAATATCCCTAAGTCCTTAATTTGGACACAAAAATGAAATGGGCTTTGCTCTTTTCATTAGGCTGCTCCCCTTACTTAAAGGAAAGAGTCTATAACTACACAGAACAAGCAGATGGTTACCAGAGGCGAGGTAGGTGGGAAGATGGGTGAAACAGGTCACAGGAATAAACAAGTACACTTGCTGCGATGAGCACTGAGTAATGCACAGAACTGTTGAATCGCTGTATTATACTCCTGAAACTAATATAAAACTGTGTGTTGACCACACTGGAATTAAAATAAAAATAAAGAGTTTAAAAGTCTCTACCTGGTATTAAAAATCGGCCATACTCTATCGTCTGAATCTAATTTGTCAATTTCAACTCTCCCTGTTCCCCAAGACCACCATCTACTTCGGTCATCCCGTTTACTTAATTATCTCCCAGACTCATCAAGTTCATGACACTTTCCGGTTCCCTCATCCAGAACGGGTTTCCCTCACTCCACTTATGTCAGTCCTACCTTTCTTAAAGGTCCAGCTTGTTTCACTACCTTCTATTCTTCCTCCAAGACGATCTCTCATCCTTCTAACTCTCTTGGCTTTTACCGTTCTAAAGTGCAAACACCTGGGATTTTGACTGGGGTTGGCTTCTCTAAAAAATCTTTCGAATTGTGAAATATAAGGCACACATGGAAGTGTGCATGAAACAAAAGTGAAAAAAGCTCAAGGATTTATCTCTAAGTAAAGATTCCATGAAACTTTCTCCAAGTACAGAAACAGAAAATAGTTAGTACCCAGAAAACTCATGTTCTTTTCTAGCTTTCATCAATACCTCCCTCTCCCTTCCCTCACCAGCTAAAGAAAGGTGGGCACTGTGCTGACAACTATGGTAATCCCTTTCTTGTTTTCTTTATAGTTTTAAACACCTAAATATGCAAACCCAAACACTATAGTTTAGTTTTTTAAAAATTTTATATACGTGGAATCACACAGTATGTCTTTTGTGTCTGGCTTCGTTACTTCCATTACACATGTTTTATAACAATGTTCATTTTCATTCTGTATAGAAAAGATCTTTATGTTCATCTAAATAAATGGACAGTTCATTTTTTTTTTAATTTTTTTTTAATGTTTTATTTATTTCTAGGAGAGAGAGAGAGAGAGACAGCGTGAGCAGGGGAGGGTCAGAGATAGAGGGAGTCACAGACTCTGAAACAGGCTCTAGGCTCCGAGCTGGCAGTCAGCACAGAGCCCGACGCGGGGCGCGAACCCACAAACCGCGAGATCATGACCTAAGCGAAAGTCGGATGCTTAACCGACTAAGCCACCCAGGCGCCCCAGGACAGATCATTTTTATCTATTCTGCAGTTGATGGACCTTTGGGTTATTTAACTTTTATTTTATTTATTTTCAAGTAATCTCCACACATCAAACTCACAATCCCGAGCTCACGAATCTTGTGCTCTACTGACTGAGCCAGCCAGGTGCCCTTGGGTTACTTTACTTTTAAAAGGTATATATGCCTTGTTTCCCTAGCTGGAATCCAAGTTTCTAGAAGCCAGGGACCATATGTTATACTACTTCCTATTTACCTTAGTATTTGCACAATGCTAAGCACACAATGGGTACTCCCAATCAAACTAAATAATGATTACATAATTCTATGAGTAGTTTAGAAGTTGAGAAGAAAAAATTACTAGTGCTAGAAATCAACTAATAGTCTTGGAGATAGTTATATAACTGGCATTTTGGAACAATACTACTACTTTACTAAATCAGAAGGCTTGACCTCTCCTATTTATTTACACCTAAGGATTTGTCATTTCTTGTTTTCCTGAGCCAACTGAAAGGTAAAAACATAATTTATCAACTATTTTCAACATAAAATTAGAATGATTCAAAAGGTTAGTTGTTATCTGCTCATCTTTGAACGGTATGTCGCCAGAGTTCCTTTATTTTTTATTCTATTTCCTTAAATTTATATTAAGTATTATACGTTTAAAAACACACAAAGAGATGTCCAAAGTTAGATTCCCTACAAAACAGAAACAAAAATTCTAGTAGCTAAGGTCAGCAGGAAATTAATCATTTCTACTCAAAAGTAAAACAACCGAATGGCTTTTTAGTTCTAATATGCTCCTTCTACAGTCAGTGAACGTTTCCTGGGTGCTGTGTAAACATCTCAAAACAGTATTGACACTGCCTAATCTTCAGACCTACTCTCCTAACCTCTTGGGGAGTCAGTTTGTGTTTTCATTTGTTTGATTTTTATACAACTAGAGCTTCATCAACTTTCTCAACAAACAGGAAAATATACTCGTGGGTAAGATTTTCTGATATATCCATGTCTCGGTCAAGTACATATGTGTATGTCTCTAATATTAGTTTTTTTTTGTTTTTTTTTTTTAAATGCTTTACTTATTTCTAGGAGAGAGAGAGAGAGAGAGACAGCGTGAGCAGGGGAGGGTCAGAGAGAGAGGGAGTCACAGACTGAAACAGGCTCCAGGCTCTGAGCTGGCAGTCAGCACAGAGCCCGACGCGGGGCTCGAACCCACGAACCGCGAGATCATGACCCAAGCGAAAGTCGGTCGCTTAACCGACTAAGCCACCCAGGCGCCCCTCTAATATTAGTTTTAACAATACACAAGCTATAATAGATCTTGTAAGTTTTGTTCAAGGTGGTAATTTGACGGGACAAAAAACAGAAAGGAAAAGTGGTAAAGAAAATAAAATGGGGGCAGCTGGGTGGCTCGGACAGTTAAAGGTCCAACTTTGGCCCGTGTCATGATCATACGGTTTGTGGATTTGAGACCCACAGTGCAGAGCAGGGAATTTTCTCTCTCTTCCTCTCTCTGTCCCTCCCCCACTTGCATGCTCTCAAAATAAATAAATAAAAACTTCAGGAAAAAAACAAAACAAAGTAATCCCAAATTGAGGAATCCGTGCAGAAAAGAACAGATGTTATTAGATGTATGTAGCCAATTTATTACTAGCTAAGGACAATTATCAAAGCCAAATTTAGTATTTTTTTTAAAGTTTATTTATTTTTGAGAGAGAGAGAGAGAGAGAGAAGGAGCAGGGCAGGAGCAGAGAGAGAGGGAGACAGAGGATCTGAAGCAGGCTCTGTGCTGACAGCAGAGAGCCTGATGTGGGGTTTGAACTCGAACTGTGAGATCATGACCTGAGCCAAAGGCAGACACTTAACCAATTGAGCCACCCATGCACCCCCAAATTTAGTATTTTTTAATGTAAAGTAACATTTTAACTCGCTAAGTTTCAAAATATAAGCCAATTATAAACGTGCCTTTATTATTTTATATTTACTTAAGACTTTCTTGGAAAGGAAGTAGATTGCTTAAAATATTACATTTGTATTTCTTCATAACCTCTTCATGAGGGAAGAAACTGAAACACAGTAAAAAGTTAAATTACAGAGGCACCTGGGTGGATCAGTTGGTTAAGCATCTGACTCTTGATTTTAGCTCAGGTCAATGATCTCACGGTGGTGAGATTGAGCCCTGTATCAGGCTCTGTGCTGGGCATGGAGCCTGCTTGGGATTTTCTCTCTCCCTTTGCCCCTTCTCCATTCTCTTTCATTAAAAAAAATTTTTTTTAATGTTTTTTTATTTATTTCTGAGAGAGAGAGAGAGAGAGAGAGAGAGAGAGAGGCAGGCAGCGTGAGCCAGGTGAGGGTCAGAGAGAGAAGGAGATACAGAATCTGAAGCAGGCTCCAGGCTCCAGGCTCTGAGCTGTCAGCACAGAGCCCGACCCGGGGCTCAAACCCACGAACTGTGTGATCATGACCTGAGCTGAAGTCAGACGCTTAACGGACTGAGCCACCCAGGTGCCCCCATTCTCTCTCTTTCAAGAAAAAAAAGAAGTTAAATTACAAACGAAAGATAATGTATACCACTAGCAGGAAAGCCAACACATATATGCCACAAATATGTGCCACAAGACTTGCTATTGCAAGACTAATTCTATCATAAAATGTTCTATTCATAAGGGAAAGTGTAGAAAGAGAAAACTGCAATTAATTTAAAAAACTTTCTAAAATCAAAATATTCCTTATCAGTTGTTGATATTTAGCTTCTTAAGGGCCACAGAATAGAATTAGAAAGTTATTTCAACTGTATGGTAAGAAACCTAGCCACTGTGTATTTCTGTAAAACAGCTAATCACCCATGTTCCTTGTCTTGTCGTTTAAAAGATTTTCCTCCCCACAGCTCAAGACGACTTCACTGTGGGGGCCTGCTTAGTTTAATAGGAAGTTATTTCACCTTCACCTTCAATCTCACTGGGGAACTACAAGCACAAACAGTTTACACTGAGTTAGATTCTCTCTTGTATCTTCTAAAATTTTGGAGTAATTTTGTAATTAAATTACATTTCAAGTAATACTTCGGGATTTTATCCTCCCCAAACTCTCCATCCCTCAGGTGGCTAGAGCACAATTCTAAGGCTACCTTAGAATTAATGAAAATATTCTGTCAGAGTACTTCCTAAAAACATTCTGACATTCAAGAGTCTTTGAGTCAGGCTAGCAAACCCAACCGCATTACCTCTTTATCTTTTAGTCCCAGGAGCAATACTTCTTCCATAAGGGTGAGGCGAATATCTTTAGAGTCACCAGAGTCATTGTCTGGACTCTTGTCTTGATGAGTGTCTTCCTCACTTTCCACCTTCTTTTCGGAGTTCTTGCCTACTTCGGTGCGACGGGCCCGATGAGTTAGGGTCGTCATTCTCCCTTGTTTCTGGAGGGGGTGACGAAAAAATATCTATATGTGTGCTTCTGTAAACAAAAACATACATATTCATATAAACATACTACAAATGTATACAAATGTGAAATACATATAAACTTAAATAAAGGAACAATGACCAGAAAAATTAGGTCAACGCAGTATCTTTTCCAAAGTACACAGAAGGCACTGACAGAAAAATGAAATCAGGAATTTTAAAGACTGGTAGCAATGATTATCTTTTAAGTCTGATGATTTTATATGCATTATCTATAACCCAGAAGTACATATCCATCATTGTAATTTCTCTTTTGCAAACTGGATCCTCCCCAAGTTCAATAATAGAGGACAGGATAAACACTGTGAGGCCCAAAATGCATATACTAATTTATATGTAATCTGTATAAGCATTCAACGGCACATTATAATACACAAGAGAAAGTAAAAAAATGAGAAAAACTAAATAGAAAGACATATTCTCATATTTTCTTCCCATACCTTAATAACTCACTTCATGCACTCACTTTGGAAATCACAGCTACAGAATAACGCTCGGAAGATCAGGTGTAGTAATTCCATGCAGCCAGAAAACTTTCCTCTCTACCCCTAGCTAGCCATCTTGCAAATACACAAACAGCCGCCAGCAAAAAGTACCAGCAAGAGAATATTACAAAATTAACAAATTCTTTCTCAATTACAAACAAATCAAAGCACGTGCGCTTTTGTACCATACACTACAGGTGCTTTAAAAATCTACAGGCAAGAGAAACCGGGCTAAATCATCTGTGATAAAGTTTAAAATTGGCGTACTTCATTTTAAATAGATCTAAACATCGGTGTTTAACATGATACACAATAAATATTTTTAATCCACAATCATTTAAAAGAATATCTTTTTCAAGAGGGAAAGAATGCCTTCATGAGCCTCTGTGACTGGATCCCATTCCCAGTATCGTAATGGCGATACTTCCCACTACGGTACTCTCAATTATGGTTAACAAACCATTTCTTAAACGTGCCCCCTGCTTTTTGCACATGTTGGTGTTCTCTCCCTTTTCCCTTCCTCTCTAGATTCTACCCATTCTCCAGAGGCCTATTGAGGATCCAGGTAAAGCCTTAAGTGAATCTCCTTCTCCATTACCCATGTATGTCCCATGGCCAGAATTGGTCTCTCTCTCAGCTGTACTTTCACAGAACTTTATTTATACTTACATCCTTTACAGTATTTATTATAGTCTTTCTTTTGGTATGGCTGTCTCTCAACTGTAAACTTCTTGAGGGCAGGGATATTGTCTTCTTGGGTTTTTATAGTCTCCATAGCAACTAGCACAATGTCTTTAACGTTGTAACTGCTCAATAAATATATACTGATTAAAACGAATACTCAGAAATGCATGTGAACATTTTTAATAGAAATACAAGTGAAGTGACTTACAAGAGGTTCTTTATACAAGGCTATATTTCAAATATAAGTCTTGGTGGGAGGAGGGAAGAAGAAAGAGTGAAAGAGGAAAAAGTAAAACATAAAATAAATGCTTACAGGCATTAACCCCATCTGACACTGTGAATAGGGTTTATTTCCTAACCCAATCCAAGAAACTTTAAGTCTTCAGAGGAAAAAAAAATTAAGGAGAATTTTGAGGAACTAACACCCCCATACATTTACAAGATAAAAACCCTATTTGCAAAAAAAAAAAAAAAAAAAAGAAAAGAAAAAAAAAGTGGCCCAAAACTAAGTAAATAAGACCCTCCTTCTCCCCATAAAATAAAAAATCTGGAGGCTGTTTTTGGACGTTAGGAAATGTGTATCTTCCGTTGCTTACCTGACGTTACTCCTGGGTTACGGCCCGACGCAGGCTGCAGCTTGCGCTCTATTTTAGGGGGACACCTGTTCCCCTTCTTCCCCCCCCTCCTAGTAGGTAGAAAAACTTCTCAGCCACGCAGAGAGCACAAACTTCCTGATCCTTCGATGCAGGGAAGGAATAACACATCAGCTTCCTCAGAATCGCTAGGCAACCTACCTTGGTGTTTCTTCATTGGACCAATCAGAAACCGCCAAGGTTGAGCCCAGCCAATCGGAGCTTACGAGGGGAGGCTCTCCTCGGGCTATTGTGTTGCGATCCCGACAAACACCACCAAAAGGAGGCAGGTTTGGGTCAACCTGACAGCTGGTCAATCCAATGAAGTAACCTTGGTAGAAGAGAGGCAAGGGAGCTGCGATCCCCACCCCCATTAAATCGTCCAATCAAAGCGTTCAGTGAGCTGGCACCAGCTGCCAATCAACAAAGGTTTTTGCTGGTCAATCTCTGTAGCAGGTGTGTTGACTGTAGCAGTGTACTCTCGGACAATTCGGTGAGAGGTGTTGGGATCCAAAAAAGCAAAAATAAACATTTTAAAATTGGTTGTTTTTGACAATTAGCTTGTCCCTAACTTCCCTGTTACAGAAACACCTGATCTGGGTCAGTTTGCGTACGTTTATGTGGTTTACATGAAACAGGATAGGTACGTGTCAGCCGGGGTTTACACCCCAACCTTCTCTGTTAGCGCTTGTTACTGGCAAACCCATGGGTAATGTATGTTTTATAATATGGCTGCTAAAAACTGCAAGAAGCAAATAGATCAAGTTTTAAGTCTTCCTTTTCTAAGGCAAAGGAAATGGCCAAAGCTGCAGCCAGGTCCCAGGGTCCTCACTAAAAGCTCGGTATCTTTCATACTACCACTTGGAGCTTCTGGGAAGTGTGCTCAACTCTTGCAAAGTATCATCTACCAAAATTATCACAAAATTAGTGCCTAAACATTTTCTGCTAAATAAAAATTAGAAGCCATGAAAGAGTCTAGATGCTGAACAATATTTTATTTATGCTGCCCAAAATGTCAGACCTTAAAAATCAGTCCTCATTTTCATCTTCAAGTTAAAAAAATAACCAATTTTTAATGGTACGTTATATATTACCCGGTTAATACACTCTATTCAGGACTCAAAGTACTGAAGAATATGGTTTTAATGACACAGTGACAAACAGCCAGTTAAGTGGTACAGTTTTAACATAAGTAAAAAGTAAATTCCTATCAAAATTTAATAACAAAATAAACATTATTTGCTTTTAAAATTGACTTAGAAGTTAATATACACTTAAAGGCAGTATCCATCAAAATGGTAGATCAATATTGAACAGATAATGAACAAAATCAATTATGACATTGGTACTTTTGGTTTGATTCAAAAGTTCTCTTGGATTGTCTCAGATAATATGATAGTCACCTAAAAATTCAGTTTAGTGTACTAGCTGCTTAAGACTACCTATAAGTTTTCACAGGTAGGGCAAATACACATTAAAATAGTAATACAGTGTCCTTTAGTTTAAATGTTGAGAAAGTTGCAAACATGCAGAAGAATTAATTTTCATATATGTTCCTTTGGTTCACTAAACTTTCTTCTTTTTGGCACTGGCTCTTGACCAGAAGTATCAAAGTGATGAGGGACCTGTCAAAAGAAAACAGCTACTAAGGATACTTTCCAGAGTACATGTCTTTAATTTTCGTTTTTTTCACGTTTCTGTGGTTTGTTTGTTCCTTCCTTGCCTTCTTTCTTTTTAAAAGTATATGTAGTAGTGTAACTATTTCCTACTAAGAAAGGATGTCTGAGTTCTTTATTTTATTTTATTTTTTTTAATGTTTTTATTTATTTCTAGGAGAGAGAGAGAGAGACAGCGTGAGCAGGGGAGGGTCAGAGAGAGAGGGAGTCACAGACTGAAACAGGCTCCAGGCTCTGAGCTGGCAGTCAGCACAGAGCCCGACGCGGGGCTCGAACCCACCAACCGCGAGATCATGACCTAAGCGAAAGTCGGACGCTTAACCGACTAAGCCACCCAGGCGCCCCTGAGTTCTTTAAAAGAAGGGTAAATTTGGGGCACCTGGCTGGCTCAGTCCAAGGAGTATGCAGCTCTTGATCTTGGGATTGTGAGTTCGAGTCCCACACTGGGTGTAAAGATATTTTAAAAATAAATTTTTGTAAAAAGTAGGGTAAATTTTATTACTGATATATTTATACCTTCTGATGGCTGCTGAAAGTACATACTTGTAAAATGTAAGGCCTTCATTAGGGCTGTTGGCGAAGTCAGAAAAATCATGTCCTCAAAATATTTTGGGGCAATAAGAGGGTAAAAGATTTAAAAATGAGCTGCAGAGAAATTCTACCTTGGCACCACGTAAGATTTAAATCATGTTTTCTTTTTGTGTTCTTGGTACTTAGCAGTGCCTGATAGATATTAGACATTCAATGCATACTCTTGAATGAATAGGACAAATTAGGGAAATTCCTAAAAGTATTCCCTGAGTTACTCAACTTTGATTTTTCTGAGAAAAACAAACAGAACAAAACAAAATATACAACTCACTAGTGATACAGATTGAATGAGTTTGAAAAAAAAAAAAATCAAAATCATTGGGAAAAATCAGGCAACTTAATATATTAATGAAGTGTCAGGTTATTTCATTCTCTTCTAAAGATATATAAATTAAAAATACTATTAACTATATTTTTGAGATTACTCCTTTTAAAGCAGTCTTATATACTCAGCTGTCTAATTTTAACCTAATAATACTAAAAGTTCTAGTTGAAAAGACAAATATTTATCTCAGAAATGACAAATATATGATCTGATTAGGTACAATAAGGTCCCAAATATGAAACAATTGTTGAAAAATTTAGGTCAGGAAAAGTTTTCTTTCCCCTAAGGTACTGAGGGGAGATGCTATATTTTTAGTTGATTTGGTAATTTATCTTATTTCTACTTCATTTTTGATCTCTAGGAAGCTCAGATCAAATTTGTGGCCCAATTTTAGCTCTCCATAAATAAAATGGCCTAAATATTCATATTTTTCTGGACACAATGACTATTATTTATTTTATAGATTCTCCAACTACTTCAAATCATTGATGAAATCAGTAAATATTTACATGGAAAAAATTAATAAACCATAGCACATTTATTTTAAAATCACCTCATTTTTTTAGAACAAATTTTTTATAAACAAGATTTTGATATCAGTATTCCGAGGTAATATTCAGGGATATTATCATATTTAGCATTTAAAATTTAATCTATAGTAATGATAGTCGGATATCTGTCCTTTTATTCAACTTGTTATCATAAAATTCAACAAGTTATCATAAAACTTACTGTTTTCCCAGATATCAGTTGATTTCTCTTCTGATTTTCTTTAGAAGATTTTACTGGTTGATTTCCATTAGCCTCCACAAAGATAGAATAATCACCATTTGGTTACTTCTCAAAGAATAACCAACACTTGAAAAACAACAGGCAACTATATGCAGTTTTTTAAAAAAGCTTTCCTGAGATATAATTCAGATACCATATAGTTCATCTAAATTAAAAGGCATACAGTTCAATAATTGTAATTCTATTCAGAGTTGTGCAACCATCACTGCAGTCAATTTTAGAATACTTTCATCACTCCGAAAAGAAACCCTGAGGTTGGTTTGTTTCTTCTTCCTTCCTTCTCTTCTTTCCTTTTAAAATTATATATAGTGTACCTATTTCCGACTAAGATACCTGGGTTCTTTCAATGTAGAATACAGCAATCACTTCCCTATTCCCTCCTCCCCCCTTCTCCCACTAGCTCTAAGACTTTCTGTCTCTACAGAAATCCCTACTCTGGACTTTCATATGAGTAGAATCATATAATATATGGACTTTTATGACTAGTGTCTTTCATTTAGCATGTTCTCAAGGTTTATCCAGGTTGAAGCATATATAGGTACCTCATTCCTTTTTATGGCTGAGTAATAGTCCCTTGACTGGATATACTACATTTTGTTTATCCATTTGTCTGTTGATGGATATTTAATTTTTTTCCACCCTTGGCAATTGTAAATAATGCTATCTATGCAATTTTTTAAATGTTTTATTTATTTCTGAGAGAGAGAGACAGCGTGAGCTGGGGAGGGTCAGAGAGAGAGGGAGATACAGAATGTGAATCAGGCTCCAGGCTCTGAGCTGTCAGCATAGAGGGGGCTCAGTCAATTAAGCGTCCGACTTTGGCCCAGGACATGATCTCACATTTTGTGGGTTGGAGACCAGAGCCTGGAGCCTGCTTAACATTCTGTGTCTCCCTCTCTCTCTGCCCCTTCCCCTCTTGCATTCTGTCTCTGAAAAATAAATAAACATTTAAAAAAAAAAAGTCGATGCGCAACTGACTGAGCCACCGAGGCACCCCATCTATGAAGTTTTTTTTTTTAAAGACATAGTTTATTTATTGTTATTTTTTAAATGTTTTATTTATTTTTGAGAGAGAGATAGAGACAGCATGAACAGGGGAGGGTCAGAGACAGAGGGAGACACAGAATCTGAATCAGGCTCCAGGCTCTGAGCTGTCAGCATAGAGCCCGACACGGGGCTCAAACTCACAGACAGTGAGACCATGACCTGAGCTGAAGTCGGATGCTAAACTGACTGAGCCACCCAGGCGCCCCTCTATGCAGTTTTTAAAATGAATATTGGATGATGACAAATTGTTAGCTGTTATATTACTATTCTCTAAAAAGACATGCTTCTTCTATTTAAAAAAACTTTTTTAACACTTATTCATTTTTGAGAGACAGAGCATGAGCGGTAGAGGGGCAGAGAGAGAGCAGGACACACAGAATCAGAAGCAGGCTCCAGGCTCTGAGCTGTCAGCACAGAGTCCAATGTGGGGCTTGAACTCATGGACCACAAGATCATGACCTGAGCCGAAGACGGATGCCCAACTGACTGAGCTACCCAGGCGCCCAGACATGCATATTTTCTGATGCGGGAAATGTACTTTTCAATCTAACTTCTTTAGTGTATATACTATTAAATATTTTCATTTTTTGCCCTTTTCTAACAGCAATTCAGTCATAATTCTCAAAATCAGCAATACTTGGCAGAGTTCATATACAAAAATATGGACAATTTTATTTCTTATTTTTAAAAATATTTATTTATTTTTGAGAGAGAGACAGAGCACAAGGGAGGTAGGGACGGAGAGAGAGAGGGAGACACAGAATCTGAAGCAGGCTCTCGACTCCGAGCCTGACGTGGGGCTCAAACTCACAAACTGCGAGATCATGACCTGAACCAGAGTTGGATGGTTAAACCGACTGAGTCACCCAGGTGCCCCAACATGGGCAATTTTAGAAGTGAATTTATGTTCCCAAAGTGTCTTAATGTCACATTACAAAGAAATCCTGCCTAATAATTTTTTTTTAATTCTTGCTTTTCTCCCTATATCCTAGTAAAGGATACTCATCCTAAGTAAAAGCTGCTTAGAAGATGATTTTGTTGCTAGTGGTACTAACTTTTGAAACTTTTTATCTTTTGCTTTCATCAGCATGTTGGTTTGAATGCTGCCTTCTGCCAGTTTTAACTTCCTACTGAGAATGTGGAAAAGGGGGCACTTAACTGGCTCAGTTGGAAGAGCACGTGACTCTTGGTTTTGGGGTCATGAGTTCGAGCCCCAAGTTGGAGGAAGAGATTACTAAAAAAAAAAAAAAAAAAAAACTATAAAAAAATGTTGAAAAAAGGACACCTAAAAATGGCACCACAATCAGTGGTATGCTGGTAAGTGTTTAGCAACCACTTCTCTAGGAGTAACGAGTCCTGAGTTGAGGCATTTGCAGATTTCCATGATGTGAATACTCTCATCGTGTCCACTTTCAAGCTACCAACATGATGGCACCGACTGAGGCGTTGGGAAGCAATGCCAGGATCCTGCTAGAGTGTGCTATTTGTTTCCTGAGTTTGGATATAATATTTTATAGAATGGTTTTTCTTCACCTCTGAACCTCTGGGTAACTTAAAGCTCTAACATAAAATATAAATTTCCATTTAGTAAAAATAGAAAACTAAAATAAAGCAGTGGACTTTTTCCTTAAAAACATGAGATTCCTTTTATGCAAAATATATACATTCATTTTTAATGTCTTATTAACAAGACAATACATTTACAAGCTAGAACATGAGAATATTTTGGCATTCTAGGAAATCTCCTTGGGAGGCTGGATGATAGTGTCCCATTTCCCAAAGCCTTTCCTGAATTCTCTCTTTCATGTACTTTCAGTCAAATTAACCATTCTCTCATTTGTGCCTCCACGTAGCCTACTCAGACTGCTACAATGGCCCGATATCACTGTTTGTTGACCTCCAATGACCAAACTTTTAGCTAAGTATGGGGAAAATGTGTTATTCATGTTTTATCTCCAGCACCTAATAAAGTACCTGACTCCTAATGGGCACTCACTAAATACTGTTCCAATAAAGAAAGCATTAAGAAGGAAAATAAACTCATTGGGGGAAAACTACAAGGTTAGAATGGAAAACAAATATAAAGATATACTTACCATTTTATTCTGAAAGATTTTTCCACTTCTTGTTTTGCTTTCAGATACCTCAAGTTCAGATGTTTTACTGACTAACTGTTCAACCTAGAAAAGAAAATAATTATACAAAATCATATAATGTAACCAAAACTATAACACAATACTGGGGCTCTAAAATGCAGTAACATAAAATCTAGGGTATTATGTTAAAGAAAACCAATAATTTTGAGTGGTTCTTACTGTCACAAAAAGTGTAAAAGTAAAGATAGTGAAACTGACACTGTATACAATTGATCATTCACCGAACTGAAAAAGTCCCAAACCATCATTAGGTACTACACTACTCTTCCAGGAGATGAGAACTTTAGCTCACCCTCAATGGAGAAAGATGTGCAGAGGAAGGTGGACAATAATCAGTCCCATTATTTTCAAGTTCTTTTTATCTAAATGTTGTATCAAGATTTTACTGTCTATGAAAAACAAAATTAAACACGTCTTCTCAAGGCAACAAAAATGTATTATAGACTCCATTTGTAAGCACAAAAGGTGATAGAATAATTGCTTAAGATTCTGTCTAGCTGAAATTCTGAGATTCTATGAACAGATATTAGGTTTACTACTAAACAAACCACAAAAATTCAAAACTTTTCAACATGTACTTTTCAAATTTCATTAAAAAGCATTCTTGAGACCTAATTTTTTTCTAAAAGACCTTGAATACAATAACAAAATCTGAAAAATAACTAAATAACTATATAAGCAAGTCTTTTGGGAAAAAAAAGTTAAAAGTGAGATGAATTATCAAATTTATACCTGAGAATGAGAAATTGAAAGATCTCGACTTTCCTTAGACCTCATAATTTCATCTTCCTCACAAACTAAACTTGGTTCTGTTTAATAAAAAAAAAAGAAGAGTTAAAGTGGTATAAAATTGAATTAGAAGTGCATTAGTCTACATTTTCATTAACTTCTTACCTCCAAGTTCAGAAGATCCAGGGTTTTTTTTCTGCTTTTCCATTTTAGTTTCGATGTCAAAATCATCCTACATAATTACAGAAAGAAAAAAAGTAGACACATTTCGAAAAGAAATTCAAACAATTGGGCAGAAGTATTTATGAACAAATTTGTTTTACGAAGGTTAAATATAGCATAACACTACAACTACCTTACGCTTGCTAGAAATAAAGTCCTATAATTACTATAGCAAGGTACTACATTTACCCAGACAACATAAAAACTACTACTTCATTTTGTAGGGTTGGTTTAAGGAGAAATAAACAACTTTCTCAAAAATACATAATGCTGTAAGAATCCTTAGTTCTTACTATTTTCAGAGGGCACTGAATTAGACATGTTCACACAACTACCATTTCTATATCTCTGGAATTTCTATACATGTGTTAGTATACACTCTGACTATGGCCCAACCCTCTTCAGGAAGTTAGTGCAGAATAAGAGCAGTCATGGTAGAAATAGCAACAAGCTTACTGTCTACTTTAAATTTTGTGTGTGTGACATATGTCAAAGAGCTTTAAATATTTTAAAGAATGCTACATAAATCCAAGCATTACTTGTTTATAAAGCAAGACTGGGATTTAGGTTTTGAGAAGACGTCGTCTTTGACTAAATTGTTTGAAAACTGAATGTTCTATTTGTAAGGATGTCGCAGAGTCTAAATCACAAAAGTCAGCCTCTATATAGAAGTACTGAGGTCATAATTTGGATAAAGTGAGATAAGACAAAACAACAAAGGTTACATTAAAAAACAATCATGTTGATGCGAAAGATTATCTGGGAGTAAGAGAACAACAAAAAGAAGACTTTTTTATATTCTATTCAGCCAAAACTTAGAATGAACGTAGTAAACCTAAGTCCTGGTAGGCACTGGATGAGTACAAAGATGAATGACACCTTTCCTGCCTTCCAGGAACTTCCAGCCTGCTTTAGGACAGGCCCAAAGGAATTCAAGCACAGGTTTAAATGAGCATCTAGTAAGGGTGTAATAGGAAGGATTCTAACATTAGTTGGGGGACTGGAGTATTTTAGTGGATTCCAAATTATGCTCCAGACCAAGGGGTTTCCTCAGAGTCCACTATGAGGGTAGTTGAGGTGGTGAGTGGCTGGGCCTCCAGGACTTCATTCAGCATAGTTGTGCCTTTTTTTTTTTTTAAATGTTTATTTTTGAAGGAGAGACAGAACATGAGTGGGGGAGGGGCAGACACAGAACCTAAAGCAGGCTCCAGGCTCTGAGCTGTTAGCACAGAGCCCAAAGTGGGGCTTGAACTCATGAGGTGTGAGATCATGAGCTGAGCTGAAGTTGGATGCTTAACTGATTGAGCCACCCAGGCACCCCAGAATAGCTGTGCTTTAAATTTCTGAGAATAATGTTTGCACCAAGATAAAAAGTTTTAAAATGAAAAGCCTATATACCTTATTTATGGTCCATACCAACCTTGAGTTTATGATTAGAATACAAATTTATACAAATATGAATGGGAACTTATTAGTCTTTAGTATTGAGTCAAACATTTGGTACTATGGTACTTTAGAACTCTTTAAAATGTACTGACACTTAAATAATGCTCCTGTTCATCTTCTAGATCATCTTTGTCCATGAGAATTTTCCGAAGTGGTGTTTTTAATTGTTTTGGTGATAGAATAGCTGAATCAATATTTTCCATTCGTTCTTTTTCAGTAGTCACTTTTACTTTGAAAGTGTGAAAAGGTGTTGGAACTTCTCCCACATTTAAGTACATAGGCTCCCCTTCGAATATCACTCCTTCACAATCACCATCCTTAAAACCAGGAGGCTGGTAATCTGGGGGTGTAACTGCAAAAAGCATAAAGTATGAAGTTCATGAAATTGAAGAGAACATAATATAATAATAATAATACATAAAGATTGAAGACATTTCAAATAGTATAGAAAGGCAACCTTTTTTTTTCTTCTCTTGACTGGCTGTATGACTTTGAATTAATTATTTATAATCCTTGATTTGGTTTCTTATCTGTGAAATGGGGAAATTAATAATACCTTCCCCTAAGGTCATTGTGGGTATTAGATGAATTAAAGTATATAAAATACTGAGACTAGAACTGGCACACTGTAAGTATTCAATAAATGTTAGTTGTTATTACCATTGTTGCTTTATGTTCTTCTAGAAGATATTATGCATAGAAAACATGTATTTCATATATATGTATTTCCTTAACAAAACACAAGTAAGATCATACTGTTCTGTACATAGCTATTTTTAACCTTTCTTTTTAATCCATTTGGATTATTTCTTGGATAAATTAACTTAATCAGCACATTCTTTTTTTTTTTTAAGCTTATTACTTATTTTGAGACAGAGACAGTGTCAGTGGAGAAGGGACAGAGAGAGAGAGGGAAAGAGAGAATTCCAAGCAGGCCCCATGCTGTCAGCACAGAGCCCAATGTGGGGCTCGAACTCACGTGAGATCATGACCTGAGCCAAAACCAAGAGTCACATGCTTAACTGACTGAGCCACCCAGGTGCCCCAGCACATTCTTTATAATAGCTTGCATGGTATTCCTACAAGTATATAACCTTGCATGTTTCTGTTAAGTATATTCCCAAAATATTTTTCTAACTATAGAGTTTCTGGGTTAAAGAGAATGCATATCTAAAAAATTGATACTGCCAAAATGTCCTCTAAAAATCTTGCACCTATATACATTCCCTCAAGAATGTATAAAAGTGCCTACTTTCCCCCATACCCTTGCCAAGAAATGGTTTACATGTTTTACTTCTCTGGTAAGAGAAAAGGAGCAGCTCACTGTTTTATTTCTTTAATTATGAGCGAGCTTGTACCTTGTATGGATGTGTTCATGTCACTGGAGAAGCTTATGTACATTTGAAAGTCTATTCTTTCTCATCTATCGTTTTCAAATACTGATATTTAATGACAATTTTATCATTTCAAAAAACAGATTACAATTTAGGTCATTTAGAATGGAAACCAATTGTTTCAATACTAAAACAAGTACCAAGAGGATGTATTACAAATAGTACCTTCGTCATAGTAAAAAAGTTTCATGGTCAAACAAACATCATTAGGTAAAGGTCCCAGATTTTGCATTAGAATATAAATCTTGCGGATGAGAAGAATACTTGCTTTCTTGGTATCAGCAGATGACATGCTGGAATCACTGTTTTGGTTTTTACTACAAGAGAATCACATGTTAATTTCTTTTATGACATCTATGGCTTCTAATAACTTCATATTTTACTATTTGAGATTCTTATTCCTATTATAGCATTAAGTTTCTAAGTTGAAAGTTACCATAAAATGTTTTAATGTCACTATTATTAAAAATGTAATATAATCAGTATCATTATTAATAACATTATAAACTAATAATTGTATTTAATATGCATTTTATATAAGGTATTTAAAGGAAACAAGAGATGAATTTTAATTACATTTCTAATCACTGAAGCATACAATAGCTTTCCTACCATTTGGCTCTGTTTCACAATTATAAGTAGCCACAGAATCTGGGCTTGTAGCTACTCGAAGGATGTTTTTACAGCCACTCCTTGATGGTTAATTGGGGGTGTTTGAGATATTTAGAATTAATCCTGCAGTTTAGCAATATAGTATTAATATGAATAAGTGGTAATCTGTAATACAAAAAGAAAACTATAAACCCATACCTTATGAAGTCCATGATTGGTCCATTATTAGTGTACTTGAACTTAAATTGGTAACATTCTGAAATTGTCTTAAACAGAAAACGTTGCAGTTATGTATCTGATTTATAGTACAGGCAGCCAAGTAGCTACATACAGTTTTTGTATGACTCTGATTGCTGATTTAATAATTTTTCTGCCATGTTAATCCTTATTAGTCCACTGAAACCTTTAAATCCTAATAATTCCCTTAGTTTGGGATTTGGTGCATCAGTCTTGGAGAGATGTTCATTCCCCTACTAATTCCAATGAACATCTGGTCGATCTATCTATTATCTATCTATCTATCTATCTCATATATGAGAGAAAGGAACTCCTTAGCAAGCAGGTAAGAGGGGCAGCATTATCTCTTATTCTAGCAGAATGGCTTGAACACAGGGCTTAAATCCTTGTTATACCATAACTAAAAGCAAGTCATTTAAGCCTTCTAAGTTTCAGTTTCCTCAGCTAATAAAAGGGGTTGAAAGTAGTACCTATCTCATTGGTGCTTATGAATATTTAACAAATAAGATAATTTATGCAGAGCATTTTATAAAGTGCCTAGCACACAAAACATTCAATAAATATTAGTGAATCAACAAGGTTTCTCTTTTACAGAAAGAAAAAAATATTCAACTGTATAAAACACCTGAAACTAAATGAATATTTTCTGAACAGTTAGCTTCCGAACAATCAACTAATTCACAGCATTTGCCTGTATGATTTTTGTCACCATGGACATATGTTAAGCATTAACTACAGGCATGAGTATCAAAGAAAAGACACTGCCAGCCCTCTTGAAGCTGTTTTTTATTGCTTTCTTTATATTTCAGAGCTCACATAGGAATGGAGATCCACTCTTTCTTTCTTTTTTTTTTTTTTTTAATGTTTTATTTATTTCTAGGAGAGAGAGAGAGACAGCGTGAACAGGGGAGGGTCAGAGAGAGAGGGAGACACAGACTGAAACAGGCTCAAGGCTCTGAGCTGACAGTCAGCACAGAGCCCGACGCGGGGCTCGAACCCACAAACCGCGAGATCATGACCCAAGCAAAACTCAGACACTTAACCGACTAAGCCACCCAGGCGCCCCCACTCTTTCTTTTTAAAAACAGCTGCTTCTCCATGACTGAATGAAACACTATAACAGCGACAGTGTCATAGTTAAGCACCAGGATCACCAGGATCATGAACTGGCCTTCTTAGGTCCAAATTCTTGTTCTGCCACTGTGACCTTTAGCAAGAAACCTAGTATCTAGGTTTCCTTATCGATAAAGTGAAGATGATAATGGTAGTTACCCCATGAAGGTTATGATGAATAAATGAGATAATCCATATAAAGCTTCAAAGAACAGAGCCTAATAACAGTAGGCAGTCCATATATCTTTCCCCTTTGTTTCTTGTTTGGTTTTCCCTGTCATTTCTTGTAATACCTTCTTTCATAGTCAGATGAACAGGTGGATGTGACTGAATTGGGACGAATATCCAAAGTGCAAGGATAAATATCTTATTTTTGTCAAAGTCAACCCCTTTCAAAATTCTATAAAAAGAATATTATATAGAAGCAGAAATCAGGAGATTTAGGTTATTTCTAATGGCTTTGGCTTAGTGGCCTAGGATCAGTCACACAGTCTCTCTGGTAGTAAGTGTATTAATCTGTTTAAAGGTAACAATACAAGCCTTGTCTTACCTTAAAAAAGCCTTTACGAGGTTCAAATGTGAAAATATATGTGAAAGTGTATTGATTAAAGTACAAGTAAAAGCACAGGATATTACTATAATTTTGTTATTTTTAGATTTTAGAGATACTATGTCTCTTTATTAACCTAAGCACACCTACCTGAGGGTCTTCTGGATTGGTGTATACCTATTTAAAAATAATTTATAATTGAGTTATATAAGGCTAAGTAGTCAAGGAGAACTAAACTGGATATTTAAATGATTACATGGATTCAGCCAAACAAAATACAAAATAACCTCCCCAAATATTAGTTTGTTACTTTTTTCCCACTGAATAGATTTACTTGAATAAAGTAATATAATCAATTGATGGTATTAGTGTTATTTAAATAAGCAAGGCCAAATTTGACATCTTAAGAACGTACAATTTAAAAATACTTACAGCTAGAACAACCATCCTTAGCTGAAATATAACAAAGAACAAAAATCTTACTTTTACTCCATAAAATATTTTTTCATGATGGATCATAAGAATTCTTTCTTATTTCTACATTTATTCCTAGTAAGAAATAATCTTACAGAAAATATGTATATAAAGCAATACATTACATATCTTTCTCTATTCCCCCAAATACCTATTTTTTAAAAAATTTTTGAGGGATCCATCCACACACAACCTGGGGGAGGGGCAGAGAGAGAGAGAGAGAGAGAGAGAAAGTCTTAAGCAGGTTCCATACCTAGACCTGAGCCTGATGTGTGGCTCAATCTCACAACTGTGAGATCATGACTTGAGCTGAAATCAAGAGTCCAACTCTTAACAGACTGAGCCATCCAGGTGCCCCCAAATACCTATTTCTCATTGACTTATTAAAGATTGAAACTCAAGTTTCATGACTTAAGCAAACATGGGTATTTCTGCCAGTTACAAGGAAAGTATATATTGTGAAATAACACATTAAACCTTGCCAACATAAGAACTGATTTTGAAAAGAGAAAAGTAAGGTTCAGGACTCTTCATTTAACAAAAGGAAGAGGCTTTGGACACCATAGGAATAGAGAATCATAGGAAATCACCCACTAATGTAATCTGACAAAAATCTAAGAGTCATCCTTGATTTGGGTCTTTTCCTTATACTCCACAACCAGTCCATTAACAGTCCAATCAGTCTACTGCCAAACATATCCTGAATCTTTTCACTTCTTTCCCTCTCTGCCTCCTGGTCTAACTAAGCCACAGTGATTTTTCACCAGTACTGCATTAATGGACTAAGCAATGCTCTCCTTGATTCCAATCTTACCCTCCTTCCACAGGATACTGTCTTTTTTTTTTTTTATTTTTTTTATTTTTTAAAAAAAATTTTTAATGTTTTATTTATTTCTAGGAGAGAGAGAGAGAGAGACAGCGTGAGCAGGGGAGGGTCAGAGAGAGAGGGAGTCACAGACTGAAACAGGCTCCAGGCTCTGAGCTGGCAGTCAGCACAGAGCCCGACGCGGGGCTCGAACCCACGAACCGCGAGATCATGACCTAAGTGAAAGTCGGACGCTTAACCAACTAAGCCACCCAGGCGCCCCCACAGGATACTGTCTTAAAAGCAGCCACAGTGATTTTTAATTTAAAAATACAAATCAAATGATGTCACATTTCTACTTTTGAGTACCTAAAATAAAATTCAAACTCCTCACCAACATAGTCCTGAACTACAGGCCCTGCCCGCCTCTCCAGGCTCCTCTAAACCATTCCTCCTCCCCCACTGCTCACTGCATTCCTTTCACACTCGCTTTCTTTTTGTTCCTTGAACTCTCTAAACTTCCCTCAACTCTTTGTATTTACTCTTCTGACAGGAATATTCTCTCCCAAAGTCAATGTGTGGCTGGTTTCTTCTCAATCAAGTCTCAGCTTTACTCAGAGAAGCTCCTATCCCGTCTAAAGTTACCCCACCTCCCCATCTGCAACACACTTTTTCTAAGTATTTAATTGGCATTTAGCACAATTGGAAATTACCTGATTTACTTGTTTTATTGACTGTTTTCCCACTGTAGAAGGCACTCTCTTGTTTGGCTGACCACTGTTAGCTCACCCAGCTCCTACCTAGAATATGTGTCTAGCACATAGCAGGCACTCAATATTTAATGAATATTAAATATTTGATGCCTTAATGAGGGAGGTTAGTGACCATGGATAAAATTTCATCTTTTTTACAATTTTGTTTAGAGCGGGACTTTATATATGTTGATATAAACATAAGTATAGAAAAAGGCTTACAATCTATAGTAAACCCTTATTAATTGAAATTTCACTTATTTATAATTTGTGACAATTTAACCTAGACTACATAGACATTTATTTTCGAACTCTCATGAAGAAACAATTTATTAAATTATTAGTATAAACAAAATCGTAGAAGGCACATGAAACTAATAAACTATTTTAAAAGACCTTTTAATTCTTTAAGTTTTTGCAAGTTAATAAGTGTTCTTACTACAACCAAGTGTTAACAACTAAGGCTAGCTTGGCAAAATTTGTTAACTATTAATTCTATTGGCTTTAAATTGAGTTGAATATTAGTCTTTAAAATATTCAAATGTTCAAACTTTTCAGTAATTTGGCCTGGCCAATGCCTGAATTAGTTTAAATTAACATTTTACTTTGTGGCAACTGCTGTTACATTTACAGAGTATAAGCTTTAGAAAAAAAGATAACGAGATATTCACTTACGTATTTTTTTTGTAAAGCATCATAGCATCCTAGCATCCTAAAAAATAATGAAATATTCACTTTTAGACTGAATGAATTTCCAGAAAATAATTCTATAAGTCTCCATATTATCTCATTACTAACTACTACAAAATTTTCTTTATTAAAGCGCCCTCCTTGGGGTGCCTGGCTGGTTCAGTTCAGGGAGCATCTAACTCTTGACCTCAGGGTTGTGAGTTCAAGCCCCACATTTGGCAAGGAGCTTACTTAAAAGAAAAAAAAAAAAAAGCTCCCTTTTAAAAAAGATTTTATTTTTTAAGTTTATTTATCTACTGTGTGTGTGAGAGAGAGAGAGAGGTGAAGAGAGGCAGAGAGAGGGAGGGAGGAGGAGACAGAGAGAGAGAGAGAGAGAGAGAGAGAGAGAGAAAGGTGAAGAGAGGGAGAGAGAGAATCCCAAGTAGCTCCCATGCTGTCAGCACAGAACCTGACGCGGAGCTAGAATTCACGAACCATGAGATCATGACCTGAGCAGAAGCCAAGAATCAGACGCCCAATCAACTGAGCCACCCAGGTACCCCTAAGATTTTATTTTTTTAAAGTCATCTCTACACCTAATATATGACTCAAACTTACAACTCCGAGATGAAAGTCAAATGCTCTACCTACTGTGCCAGAATTTTAATTTCTTTAAAATAAAAGAAAAATTTTAATGCAAAGATCCAAAGACCTACAAAAATGGTGTCTAATGTTAAAAGGGGAATGACTAAAATTGGGTTAAACAATGAAAGGTATTCAAGGGACAAAAAAATGTGATTTAAGAGAAAAATAATTTTATATCATTAGGTAATCTTTTACTCACCACTTTACTAACTGTGTAGATCCTGGACAGTTTTTATCTTCTCTCAGAATTTTGACACAAAGATCTAAACAAAAAATGATAGAACTACTTAAGATTAGTAATCAACTAGAAATTTTATTTTATTTTATTTTTTAAGTAGGCTTTATGCCCAGTGCGGAGGCCAACAAAGGGCCTGAACTCACAACTCTGAGATCAAGACTTGAGCTGAGATCAAGAGTCAGATGCTCAACCAACTGAGACACCCAGGTGTCCCAAGCAGCTAGAAATTTAAGTGAAGATTTTTTTCCATCCGCTGTGTATTAGAGATATATTATTAAATGGCAATGAATTTCCAGATGATTGGTATTAATATAATTTTTTTAATGTTTTATTTATTTCTAGGAGAGAGGGAGAGAGAGAGAGAGACAGCGTGAGCAGGGGAGGGTCAGAGAGAGAGGGAGTCACAGACTGAAACAGGCTCCAGGCTCTGAGCTGGCAGTCAGCACAGAGCCCGATGCAGGGCTCGAACCCATGAACCGCGAGATCATGACCTAAGCGAAAGTCGAACGCTTAACCGACTAAGCCACCCAGGCGCCCCTGGTATTAATATAATTTAAAAGAAGAAAGGTTTTATGGAAACAAATAATCTTTTTATCCTTATTATAAAATGATCCTTATAAAATTATCCTTATTATAATATATCAAAATGATTAGGATACATGTTGATGGGTAGAAAAAATTTAATTTTTAAAAGCTATAAAATACTTAAAGTTAGATATAATCCCCTCACGCCATCATTATCCAAGAGTATTTGCATGGGCCTGTATCCCAATTAAATTCTTGTAAAAGGCCAAGAAGTTAACTGGCTGTGAGAGAGAGAGACCTGCAAGGAAGCAACAGGTGATACAATGGAAAGGACTAAGATCTCTGTCTGTCTTGGGTTTCTTATCTGAAAAATAGGGATAATATCTAACTCACAGGCCTGTAATATGAATTAACAAGCTATAATCCACATAGTGCTGAACATATTCCCCAGCATATAGTGGGCACACAAAATTTAGGGACATATTATGTGCTGGGTAATGAATTATTACTGCAGTATAAATAGGCTGTATTCTTTTTACTTCCAAAATGAACACAGAACATATACTACTACTATACAAAGCTATAAATAATGTTTTTACCTACCTACTTCATCATTATGAGAGTAATGTCAGGTGAAATTAATCTTGAGAAACTAAGGAGGAATTTTATGATTAAGTGCTTCCAAAGGTATTGAATACACTTTTTAAAAACCACAGTCCACACAAAAACGTGTACATTAATGTGGCATTATTTATAATAGCTAAAAAAGTGTAAACAACTGGAACAAACATTCATCAACTGATGAAATAGATAAATAAAATGTGATATAGCTATATAGTAGAATATTAGTTAACCATAAAAGAGAATGAAGTACTGATTCCTGTTACCATATGGATGAATCTTGCAAACGTAAGTGAAAGAAGCTGGTCACAAAGGACCACATATTGGAAGATTCCATTTATAGGGAGTGTCCAGAAAAGGCAAATCCATAGAGACAGAAAGCAGATTGGTGGAATCCTAGCACTGGGGAGGTGGGGGAAAGGGGAGAGGGACTTAGAGTGTGTATGGAATTTCCTTCTGGGGTGATGAAACGTTCTAAAATTAACTGTGGGAATGGTTGCACACCAACTTGAATATACGAGAAATCATTCAACTGTGCACTTGAAGTGAGTGAATTCTTGTCAGGTATGTGATTTTCATCTCAATAAAGCTATTATTAAAAAAGACCTCTCGGCAAAAATGTACACAGTCTTAAAGCAAGCCAAAAGAAAGACGCCACGTTTGAAGAAAGTTTAAACATCAACAGGAAAGAAGTTGAAAGAAACAAAAAACAAACATTACCATCTAGATATCTTGTTCCATAAGCACATTCTGGAAATATTCCTCTCAAATAGGTGATGCAGGATACTGACACTGCTAGGAGCCTCTTCACTAACACTAAAGACTGCTGCTCTGTTGATATCTTACTGGGAAACACCAATGCACTCTAAAGGGAAATTAAAACATTTTATTTAGATTTATTAAGAATAACATCTTCCTAAACTTGAGGTAGATCTACATTTGCATCAGCATGCTCCCTCCCCAAAGAATTTCTAACCATAGTGGTTAAGAATGCCCAGAAAGTCAGGGTGGTTTCTGAGATGCGAAGGTGATTTTCAGGGGAGCAGCCTAAAGGGAAATGCAAAAAGGGCTTAAAAATCCTCTTAAGATCCCCTTGCAGGTTAACAGTCTGTAAGGGCATAACCCCTGACAGACGACAGCGCTTCTCTCTTTAGTTACTGACTAGACTTGAGCAGGAAATTGTAACACAGGAACAGTGCAAAGATGCGAATTTTATCTTTGGGAGGCATGGACACTTCCTTAGACGGGACGGCTATGAATGAGAATTTCATCAAAGCAACAGATTTCATTAACACCTGTTATAAACTGGACGCGAACCAGAGACGTAATGCAATGCATCAAACATCCAACAGGTTCCTCCATGGGCTCTAAGCAGTTTAGCAAATATCTTCCTGTCTTAAAACATGGAGTTTCCTGATCCCATTAAACCCCCAAACAGTTGACTCTAACGGTCAAATATAAAAACAGCTTGAGGCTTCAAGAAACAATAAAATTAGCCACATTAAAGTATTTTTAAATACAAGAAATCGTACCATGGAAGTCCTCTGTAATTGTGCAGTGGCCATCTTCTGATAAAGTCTTTTTCTTAATTCAACCTTGGGACACAAGCACAAGCTTTATTTATTATTTCAATTTAAAAAATGTTGATTTGTTTTTGAGAGTGAGTGAGAGGGAGCAGGGGAGGGTGAGAAAATGAGAGAGAGAGAGAATCTGAAACAGGCTCTGGGCAGAGCCGGATGCAGGGCTCGAACCCACTGACCCTGAGATCATGACCCGAGCCAACGCCGGTTGCCTAACCGACTGAGCCACCCAGGCGCCCCAACTAAACACAAGCTTTAACTTCAGATCTTATTTATATCCCAAATATTCTAGTCAGCTCCATGTGATGGCAGAGAGAACTTGACGTGAATAAAAAGAAATTGTGATTAATTTCGTGTAAATAAATTATACATAAATAAACCAATCACAGTGTTCAAGTACTGACTGCCCTGCACAGTTAGGTGGATATTAGGTATGGAAAACGGGCCCTGCCAAACTCTTTAATCGTTAAGGTTTGTTTTACATTGACAGTTTCAGAACGACCGAATGGAAGAACGTTCCTTCACTGAACTTCAGCCATGGCTCCGGAGAGAAAAACGTACCGTCCGACTCCGCGGAACCGCCCCAACCGGGCAACGGAAACCATTCCACATTGTGGCTGAGGCTCATTTCTCAATTACAACTGGTATTTTCGTGGAAGTTTAATGTTTTAGTTCCAGCGGCCCCGTTCTTAATCGGACAATTCAACTGGAAGAGGTCTCAGAAGAGACGGTTTACGGTCATCGAGCCTGACGAAGCCCAGACGGGCCGGGGGACCTCATCTCAAGGGCGCCTTATGAGAAATAAGCAGGCGGACGTTTCCGCCGCTCCCCCCTGCCCCCCGTTTCACCATTAAGACTTTAAGAATCCTAAAAGCAGTTGGGAGGCGATAGAAAAAAGGATGGAAACACAGAAGACACACACAAACAGGAGAGAAGACAAACTAACAAGTACATTACGTCAGGTCCGACAGTGCGCCAGCCGCTGGGAAGCCTGGCACGGGGCGGCGCGCGCTCTGCCCGACGCGCAGGCGCCTTCCTTCAACGGCCGCCGGCGGAGGCGCAACCACAGCCGTGTGATGCCCGCGTCGCTTTCCCGCCAGGAGCCGCGCGGGGCGCGCTGGGAACTCCAGCCGGCTGAGGAGCCCGCGTCCGCCAGAGGGAGGCCGGCTTGCCAGAAAGGTAACGGTAAGTAAAGGCGTGTGCCGAGCCGTCCCGAAAATCGTAGCTCTCCCCCGGACACCCGCGTGTTCGCAGCCGCCATTATGAATCTTGTTAATTTCCGATTGGTTTCGAAGTTCGATTTTGTTATTCGATCTACCACGTATTGATTGCACTCCCACCTTAGTCTCCTGTGCCTTCGGGACACCCGTTGCTCAAACAGCCCCCTGCTTAGATATTTCCTCTACGCCGGCTGTGGCGACGGTGGATGGCTACTAATGTAGTTAATGCCTCATTTAGAAACTGTAAATTCAGAGCTGGTAGGTAGTTGGACATTGTCAAGAGTGCATATAGCACTCTTGTTTGTTACATACCCAAATAAATTGTGTTATCAGTAGAAACTTACCGTCATTATTCATTAACTTGGATATGTCTGCATCACCGGTTAGAAAGCAGCCACCCCAGTATGAAGATTTGCCCAAAGTCTAGAATCTTGGAGGCTAGAATCTTGTTTTCAGTAAAAAAATAGTCGATATTTGGGGAACCTGGGTGGCCCAGGCCGTTGAGATGGATCGCTCTGGATTGTAGCTCAGGTCTTTTTTTTTTTAATTTTTTTTATTTTTTAAATGTTTTATTTATTTCTAGGAGAGAGAGAGAGAGACAGTGTGAGCAGGGGAGGGTCAGAGAGAGAGGGAGTCACAGACTCTGAAACAGGCTCTAGGCTCTGAGCTGGCCTTCAGCACAGAGCCCAACGCGGGGCCCGAACCCACGAACCACGAGATCATGACCTAAGCGAAAGTCGGACATTTAACCGACTAAGCCACCCAGGCGCCCCTGTAGCTCAGGTCTTGATCTCAGGATCTGGCGTTGAAGCTCCCCGTTGGGCTCCATGCAAATTCAATTTTCAAATCCCCTGGTTTAATAATAATTATTTTGCTTTATAGTTCTCTCACGTGTCAAGTTTACAAATGGCTTTCAAATTCACTGTCTTATTCTTCTTTTTCCTAATTTGCTTCTTCTAAGAGCCTTGTGAAGAAGATGTAAGTATTACTCCTGTTTTACTTATTTTTTAAAAAGCTTATTCATTTTGAGAGAAAGAGAGAGAACAGGAGCAGGGGAGGGACAGAGAGAGAGAGAGAGAGAGAGACAGAATCCAAAGCAGGCTCCTCGCCACACTGTCAGTGCAGAGCCCGGCATGGGTCTCTAACTCACAGAACCCTGAGATCATGACCTGAGCCAAGATCAACAGTCAGATGCGTTATTAACAACTATAGAAAAGAAATATGAGGGGCGCCTGGGTGGCTTCGTCAATTAAGCGTCCGACTTTCGCTTAGGTCATGATCTCGCGGTTGGTGGGTTCGAGCCCCGCGTCGGGCTCTGTGCTGACTGCCAGCTCAGAGCCTGGAGCCTGTTTCAGAGTCTGTGTTTCCCTCTCTCTGACCCTCCCCTGCTCATGCTCTCTCTCTCTCTCTCCTAGAAATAAATAAAAATATTTAAAAAAAGAAAAAAGAAAAGAAATATGAAAAAGTAAATAGCTCATCTTCAGTCACAGAATCAGAATCATGCTGTAGGGGAGGAATAATTTCTCTTCTGCCTTGTTAGGGTCTCTGGTTGGACCTATGAATTTAACTGGCAGAAGACAGATTAACAGGAGAAAATGTGCAAGTTTTAATTCTATCTTATTTACACGTACCTGGGAGTCTTCACAAGAAAAGTAAAGACCTAAAGAATCAAAGTTGAATGCTTCTATACTGAATTGGAAAAAGAATAATAAATTGTGCAAATGCGACTAGGTGAATGGGCTCTGGCTGGAGCAGTTGAATGAGTGAAGTGATACGGGGTTAGGTTAACAAGGTTTGTTTGTACAGATTGATCTTGGCCTTCACTGCATGTCCTTGGTGACAAGAATTTCTCTTCTGATATGGGGAGGATATCTTTCACAAGGGAATTTTCTCTCTTGTTTTTAACAAAAAGAAGGAAAATCAGAATGTCCTTCTTGCAGCTGCTATGTTTCAAGTGCTTTTAACTCAGCATAGTCAATATGCCAGACCAGCATGTTTTGGGGTGCTGTGTTCTGAACGCTTTCAATGCAATTGGTAGTTACTGATTTAACCAACTAGATCACTGACTATACTTTGAGGACGAGAGTGGAGACCCGGGTGGTGTTGGGGCAAGACATTTAAAACATTGATTACCATAATAGTCAGTAGACATGATTAAAAATAGCAATACAGGGTCGCCTCAGTGGCTGAGTCAGGTAAGTGTCCAACCCTTGATCTCGGCTCAGGTCATGATCTCGGCTCAGGTCATGATCTCATGGTTTGTGAGACTGAGCCCTTCATTGGGCTCTGTGCTGACATTGTGGAGTCTGCTTGGGATTCTCCTTCTCTCTCTCTCTGTCCCTCCCCTGCTCACACCTTCTCTCAAAATAAACAAACTTTAAAAAATAGCATACAGACATATTAGAAATCTGAAGGTAAATACTAGAAGAGACAGTTAAAAGAATTATCACTGATTTTAAAAGATTACTGATTTTGTTCATAGCAGCACTCTCCACAATAGCTAAAACATGGAAAGAGCCTAAGTGTCCATCAACGGACAAATGGATCAAGAAGATGTGGTTTATCTATACCATGGAATACTACATGGCAATGAGAAACAATGAAATCTGGCCACGTGTAGCAACATGGATGGACCTTGAGGGTGTTATGCTGAGCGAAATAAGTCAGGCAGAGAAGGACAAATATCATGTTTGCACATATAGGAGGATTAAGAGGAACTTAACTGAGGACCATGGGGGAGAAGAAGGGGGGAAATGGTGGGGGAAAGGGAGAGAAGCAAACCATGAGAGACTCTTGAATGCTGACAAAAACTGAGGACTGACGGATGTGGGGGGGGGAGGGCGGAGATGGGCACCGAGAGGGGCACTTGTGGGGATGAGCACTGGGTGTTATATGGAAACCAACTTGACAATAAACTACTTGTAAAAAAAAATAAAAAAAAAATTAAAAAAAGATTACTGATTTTTAAAATATTGGTTAAGAGAATGGGATATTAAGCTTTTAGAGATGCTATAGTACAAACGACCTTTAGTTATGCTTAGTGTTAATCGTAGTACTATTTTGAATGTGCCTCTGAATTGTTTGGTAACAGCTACTAGGTACGTACTTTAGAGAACATAACATTTTTGCTACCTAGAAATTGGTAAGTTCTTGTTTACATGACACAAATACTGCCCAAATACACTTATCTATATATGCGGATCATTTTTTTAAATGTTTACTTATTTTGGGAAAGAGAGAGTGTGTGCATGCACACACACGCACAAGTTGGGGAGGAGGTAGAGAGAGAGGGAGAATATTCCAAGCAGGCTCTGTCCTGACAGTGTGGAGCCTAATGCAGGGCTCAATATCAGAAACCATTAGATCATGACCTGAGCTTAAATCAAGAGTCAGGTGTTCAACTGACTGAGTCACCCAGGTGCCCCATGGATCAATTTTTGTACAATTTATTATTTGCTGTTTGAAATTGTTGGGGAGGAAAATCTTTTTCTGTATCATCTTAATTTTTTTAAGTTTATTTTGACAGAGACAGCATGAGTGGGGGAGGGGCTGAGAGAGTGAGGGGGAGAGAGAGAGAGAGAGGGGGAGAGAGAGAGAGAGGGAGAGAAAGAATCCCAAGCAGGCTTCATGCTGCCAGCACAGAGCCCGACTTGGGGCTCAAACTCACCAAACTGTGAGATCACAACCTGAGCCAAAACCAAGAGTCAGACACTTAACCAACTGAGCCACCCAGGCGCCCCTTCCTGTATCCTTTTAGATTCTGTACTTGGGGATTTGCAATTTAAATGGACAACAGACAGCTTAGCAAGAGGGAAAAACAAATGTAAATATGTACATATGCACAGCAGTTCACAAAGAAATGTGACTAGAGGATGTAGTTAGATTTTGGAGTTTACATACCATCTTTTTTTTTTTTTAATGTTTTATTTATTTCTGAGAGAGAGAGAGGGCAGCATGAGCAGGGAGGGTCAGAGAGAGAGGGAGTTGGAATTGGAAGCAGGCTCCAGGCTCTGAGCTAGCTGTCAGCACAGAGCCTGACACGGGGCTTGAACCCATGAACCGTGAGATCATGACCTGAGCTGAAGTTGGACGCTTAGCCAACTGAGCCACCCAGGCGCCCCACATACCATCTTAATAGGGGATTGGGAGGAATAGAGGGGCACTTATGGGAGAACATAAGACTTCTAGGAAAAATAAATGGGCCCTTAGGGGAATAGATGGGATATATGATAGTTTTATAGCAGTGTCTCTTGAGGTGATTTCTTATCCAGGTGTTGACTTGTGCTGACTTCTTGTCTTTATAATAAGAGTTAATCTTACCCTGTTGTGAAACTCCTTGGGAGGTGATTCAGGACAGTTCAATTCTTTTGGAAAGCTTAGCTTTTAGGGAAAGAAGGGGAATGGAGAGAAAGCCTCTTCCCACATCCATTGATTTTCAAATGTCTTTAGTTCATGGTAATCCTTATGCCACTGTGGCATAGTCTCGATGCCTTCAAAATTAATGATAAAAAACTAGGGGTATCTGGGTGGCTCAGTCAGTTGGACGGCCAAGTCTTGATTTCAGCTCAGGTCATGATTCCCAGGG